AATTTTAGGATTTTGGTTTTGTCGAGATAATTGATTTCAAAGTTTTGGACGACATTCTTTTTGGGCTTTTTCGGTAAAATTGCTGTTTCTGTTTCAAATTCGGACAGGGACATTATCCGAAGTTTTTTTGTTGGAATTAGAGTTTTTTGGACTACGGTAGATGCGCAAGCGATAAGTTTCCCTGTTGGTCTCGAGCGGAATTACTTTGAATTTTTTCGCGTTTTTGAAATCCGTCTGTCAATTTTTCGCCAATTTTTCGCGCTTTTGTGATAGGGAAAATGGGATTCCGATATTCTGAATTTCCGAATTTTGAAACTCGACATTCCGAAAATTTCTGAAAAAAAAACTCCGAACACCCCAGAACGTGGTTACGTTATCCGAGATTATGGTAGCTACCATAAAAAGTTTCATCTCTTCTAATAGTAACTACAGTATCTCCGATCAGATCCAAGCCTCCTATTTTCATTTCCAGACCTAGTCGGAACCACTCAATCACAGTTTCTAACAAGGAAACAAAGAAAGATTGCACAACAACTCGCCGCTACTTCCCTGTTTCCCTCATTCCTCTGAAAACAAGCTCTCTGAAAAGAATATGCACCAAAAACGAACAGATGCAAAATATTTACAAGCCGGATGTGACGTAGTTGTTCCAAAGCACCTTTGTCCTGTGCTTTTGAAAAATTCCTTGTACCTAGAAGTACCTAGAATTGAATCGGATACCTTGAATTTTTCATAACTTTGAAGAAACGACGGCGCAGCACGTGTTTCCTTTAGAAATACAATTATTCAGGTCCCTAACCCAATGCGTTCCTTTTCAATTCTCTAAAATTGCCAAGACGACTACTACGTAGACAAAATAATTGGCATGTTTGTGTGACGACGAGACACTTTGTCCGTAGGTCAAAAGTTTAAGAAGGGCGGAGCTTGAGGGGACGTTTGGGTACCTTTAAAAGATACACAATCGAATTCTATTTATATACTTCCGCGTGCCAGATGCCGTTGTTGGAAGAATTATCGTTTTTTTACGTTTTATGATCGCGAAAAAGGGGGAATTAGGTTGGATATTTATAGATTCCATAATTTTGGTTCTCCACCAATAAAAATTGCTTTCGTGTTCTTTTGTTTTGCATTCTGATTGTTATGTCATAATATAATATTGTTAGCTAAAGAAACAATAGACAAGGAAATTTTTAGCTTTAAATTCTCAGAATCATGACATTCAACGACTACAGTAGTCTTCGAAAACGAACTTGCGAAATCAAAAATTCTGCTCTTTTCGATTCTCACGGTCCGGGCCACCACTGAATTTCACCTAATTCGTAGTAGCACTACTAAATGCCGAGTATTCCCACGCATTCGTAACCGGAGAGTTTCACCGAAAACATGTTTTAGCATTTATGTTTTGGGGATCCCATAGGACCTTTTTTATGTAGAATCTGACGTGCTTCCTCTGGATACTTTTTGATGATTGGCACCTGTTTCCGAGGAGTTTCCTTTGGGTTTTTGTGTTCTGAGTCATGAATCTGGTTTTATGAACTCTTCGATTTTTGGAACATCTGCCCAATTTTTTCTATTTTTGGAACACTGACAGCTCAGAAAAAAAAAAAAAAAAAACATTTAGAAACAAATCTGCAACTTTCAAAAGGGGTTTCATGCATTTTACAGTATTCCGAATTCCGAAAATTCCGAAAATTCCAACCGGAATGTTTCAGAATTTTTCCGAAATTGAGCTTTTCGGAATACGGTATGTCAAATGCGGGTCTCGCGCGGAATTACTGACAGTGTTTTTCGCGTTTTCAAAATCTGATTGTTAGTTTTCCATCAATTTTTCACTTTTGTGATGATAAATTCCGAAATTCCCAAAAATTTAAAACCCGGAATTCTCGACAAAAGAAATCCGAAAAGTTCGTTTCGAACATCCCTGGAACAAAATTGCAACTTTCAAAATGGTTTTCAATTTAATAACAGTATTCCTCTACATCAAATATAGACAGAAACCTCTAAAAGACTCGCATTACAGTAATCCCGTAGGGAAATTTTAATTTTTTCAATTGTAGTTGTTTTTTTCAAAAGCCTCTGTTCTTCTACTCGTGTGAAAAAACGGGACGGAAGTAATTATAAAAATCTGGAAAACAAATAGAAATCGTCAGCGGTTTACAAAAGTCAAATTCTCATACATATCTGTAATTTCTGAAGATTACGGTAGCTAATGTAGTCAACAAAGAAAGGCTTCAACTCATATAAAAAAACAAACTTCCTAGATTAAATCCCCTTTGTTGACTCATAATTAAGCTTAATCCCTATGTTTCATGCTTCAAAGACATCGATTTTCAATTCATTGATACGTCAAAAAAAAGAGAATCGAAACAAAACAAATGTTAACATAAAAAAGAAAAAAGGGTAGACACCACTAAACGTCATTAGATTACGAAAGAATAAAAGAGTGGAGTTGGTTGGGTATCCAGGAAACCAGTCATCCACAGCTATATAAAAATTTCTCAATCCTAAAGTTAACTTCCCGGTTTTCGTTATACTCAAAAAAGTTCATTTCATTCAATATTTTAAAAGGTCCGATCACTATTCATCTTTCTTTTTTCTTCTTTCTTCACACTCCTCCGACATTAATCTTCGACACCATGACGTCGTCAATTCAATAGAACCTCTCGGGACCTTCTGAATAGGTGAGCACGTCGTCGTATACAGAATCTCCTCGTCCATATAAAAACGGAGAAAAAAACCACCCCGAAGACCCACCAATTTCGATTTCCACCCTCCCTGTCTACTACCAATTTCCGGCCACTACTATTTTTTTTTAATTTTCACCCTTTTTTATTTTCGGCCCACATGAGGGATTTTCTTTTGAATTCCAACCAGATAATTCGGGAACTGAATAATGTGTTCCTCGTACTTATTTTACCCTGGAAATACTAAATTATGAGTTTATTTTTGAACCGAAAACCCCAGATTTACAAAAATCCCTCAAGTGTGTTGTCCGTTATGTCATGGTTGTTTTTGAAGTCTCTGGAGCATACTTGTAACAGGCCGGGCCGGGCAGGGCTTTTTTCCGAATTTCGGAGGCCCGACCCGGCGGGCCTGTCATTTCACAAGTTTTGAAATTTTCAAAAAAACACATAAGGGGGACCCCTTATGTGATTTTTTTCGATCGAAAATTTTTTTCGAGTTTTTTCGATCTTTTTAGAGCAAACAGACAAACAATCCAAAATAACAAAAAAATGGAGAAAAATATATTGAGACCTCAAATTTGGCTCAAAAAAACATAATTTTTGATACGGGGCCTTCCGGGCCGGGCCCGGGCCTTGAAAATTTCCTCAGGCCCGGAATTTTACAAGTATGCTCTAGAGGAACAGTGCGATTGATGTAGGCGTCATATTTTTTTGTGATGTTTGTCATTAGAATCTAAATGACCTCGTCGTTCCATCCGTCACCTCATAATTGGTTTTATTTCATATAAAAAGGAAGAAAAAAAGCTCATTAACATTTTAGTCTGGAACTTTTTTTTATTTCCTTAGTCTATAATTTCAAATTGAGGTATTAGTTCGTACTTTTCCTATTTTTGAGTCATTTTTTTTTTGAGTTTCGAAAATTTTCAGACAAATTATTTCTTTATTGATCTAGAGCTCCTTTTTTGTTTTGAGAACTGTTGTATGTTTTCTCAAAAGTGCGAGGATTGTAGAAACTTTTTGAGCTTTCCAGTTTCAGCCCTTTCAACTGACCTGCTGGTAGCCCTTTTAATATTCCAAGTTCAAAAAGTTGAAATCAAAAGAAAAAACAGTAAAACCCCTAATGGGGATTGAACACCTGACCTTTCGAACACCAGTCGAGCGTACCCACTTATGCCATGCGTGTGAAATGCTTGTTTTGTTTTGCGTTATTAAGTAACACCTCTGTAGCAGGCGGGCAAAAGAATTACGATAAGAAAAATACTGTAAAAACTCTAGTGGCCTACAAAAACCACCAACTTTGAGCCTATATAACTCGGTTTCTGTAAGAGATTAAAAAAGTGGTCAACTGACAAAATGTTTATCATGTTTATCATAAATTAAGCGTTTTTTTGAGGTTTTTAACTAGACAGCTGTACTAATATTCTAGATTTATCTCTTTGACTTCGTTTAAAAGAATGTAAATTTTTAATCCAATATTCCCAAGAAACCTAATTTTCTGCTCTCCCATTTGAACTGACCACCCTCAAAGAATCATTCCACTTCAACTCTTTTCTTGGAAGGTGTCCTTCAAATGGAAAACCCCTTTTTTTGGATTTCCCTGTCGTCACATTCTCTCACATTGCCAATGAAAATCCCTTTAGTGGAAAGAACCTGTGTTTCAGAATTTCCGGTACCATCCGGAGCCATTCTGTGCAGTTTGAACGTCTTCATTTATATTTCATAGGATCTCAATTTGTTCTTCTTTTCCTTTTCTTCAGATTCTCTCCTCCCCTTCTTTCCCCTTTTTTATTGTCAAGTGCTCTTTTTGAGGAGGGAGGAGGAAAGGGGGGCGGAGCCTAGGAGTCCAGTCTTTTTCCACCAAGTCTCAAATTTCGAGCTCTTCAGTCTCTGCCCAGTTTTGCATCTTCGCACCCCACACAACAAATAGCTGGGGGCTCCTTTTTTTGAATTTGAATGAGGGTGGGGTGGTTTGATCTGCATCAGACTTCTGGATCCGATTACTTTGTCATTCGACCTTTATTTTTTCATTTTTAGATATGGCATTTGACATCTTCATCAACATCATATATGCATTTTCCAACATCCCGTCATTTACATGTTCTTTTTGTTTTTCTCTTTGTTACCCTTTGCTCTGTTTTCTGGCTCCGCGTCACTGCGACACGTCGAAACTAGTCATCTCGAAACCGTGTTAATACAGACAAAAGGATTCGAATTCTGAAAATCGACCAATTCGAAAAAAAATGGAATTGAAAAAATGACTGGTTTCGAAGTGTCCCAGTTTCGAACTTCCTACTTTTCTGAATCTGAATTTTTCAGATGCTCTTGGTTTCGTTGTTCAGTCTGTTCTCGATCGGATTCGGAATGCGGCTCACCCGTACCGAACTGATCGAGCAGCCAACTGCGACTGCTTTGGTTCTCGAGTTGGGTCCCCTGGATTTTCAAGACGACGTCGATCTTCTGGAATCCACCTCTTCTGACGCCTTCCGTGACAAGCGAGGTGTTGATCCAATGAGCATCCCTCGGCTCATCAAAGAGCCACCATTGAAAAAGAGAAGCGGCGACTTCAAAAGAGGCGAACTCGTTTATCCATCCGCTGCTAAACAGACGGTTCCATTGGTACGAATCCGTGAGCCACCACTTAAGAGAGGACAACGTGGGTTTTCAGAAGACGTGGGCGAAGAACGTAATCAAGTTAGAATTCGTTTCAGTGTTCCTTGAAGAGCTTCTTCAATCCAACGACGCTGGCATCCAAAAGAGATTTATGGACCCTCTTATAAGGATACGGTAGGTAAAGGGAAACAACAAAAAGGATGACGTCTTCAGAAGATTGAAGACCTCTTCTCATTCATCATTCTTTTGACGTTTCATTTCTCAAGCACCAATAGTGAATCCAAAGTGAATTAAGAAATCTCACGCATTCCAAAACTCACACTTCTAAATAGAATATAAATAGAATCTCATCTGAATTCTAAAAAACTATTCCTTTTCAGATACGGATCTAACCGACGAATCTACTCATAGACACTGACACTCTTCTTCGATGATCTTCACACCATTCAGCTAATAAAAATAAAACAAAACAACACAAAAATTCTTTAGTGCACACATTTGGGTACCATTTTCTTCTTCACAACTTTCGTTTTCCCTCAGTACCGCTTTTTTATTTATTTTTTGATTCTTCTTCGCAACCATTTCCCCCCGCCCCACAGATTTCTTCTTTGTCGAGAACAATAAACACGTGGCAGAGTTTGAATGTGTATTTGATGAAGCAGGTTATGAACATGATACCGGGATACATCAGAAAAATAGAAACTTTAAGGATAACTTTAAAGTATCCCAGAATTTGAGCTTTTAAAACTATCGGCTTGTGAGCGAATATTGGACAGAGGTTCAATTCGCCCAAAAACGACTATATAGCGGGCCATGGTCAGATTTTTGTCAGAAGTCAAAAGTTTTCATGAGTTCGTCTGAATTTGGTCGGCATTAATCAGGTCTTTTTCGAAATCCGACCAACATAGGTTATACTGAATTTCAAAGAAATTGTGAATTCTATTGAATATCAAAATTTTGTGAAACAACATTTTCAGCTGACATTTTGTGAATTCCGAATTGGGTCCAAACTTAAAATTAGTCCTAATTGTTTTCCTTTTTGAGAACCCAGACTTTTTTATTCCAGGCACAGCTGTTCAAAGAAACTGAGAAAGTCGAGGAACTTTTGGAGAGCAGATGCTTCACAGATTTTACGATTTTCGGGAATCTACCGAATTTGAAAAGGATTTCCATTATCTGAACCCTAATCATACTACACATCATCTAGATTTCATCACTTTTTTCTCTTTTTTATTTTTGCCCATAGCCGTTCCAATTGTCACCATAAATCACCCGCTCTCTTATCACCAAAAGATCCCCCATATCGATATCATCTCTCCCTTTGGTTCCTCTTGACCTCGTGTCGTTTTGTCAACCTGAAAGTCATTTATGATACTTACAGTCCTCTTCTCATTCTCCCTCCTACACTGTTAATTGACATGAAACTCAAAAAAAAGGCGACGAAATAGTTTGGAGATTCAGGCAATTAGACAAAAAAAATGAAATCGAGGTTTTGTGATAAGAGAAGATGCGACGTGTTGTTTGTTGCAAAAGAAGGAGAAAGCGGCGAAATAAAGAGGCGGGTCGAGGAAGCAATAGTTGATCAGAATGATGGAATGGACAATCGGAAGAGCGTCAGATTACAGGACATCACTATCTGCACGTATCAACAAACTATGCAGGAAATTTGTGCCTAAAAAGGATTGAAAAATTTCAAAAGTACAGGGCATTGGATAGAAAAATAGCATCTGCAAGAATTTGAACTCATTAAAAGGAGAGGGACATGAAAGAAATTTTCTCGAAATTGGTAGATTTTCTACTTTCCAAAAATCATAGAGATACTGTAACACTACAAACTAAAAAATTTAATTGCCTGATAATTCAGAAAACTCCTGAAAATATTGAACTGAAATTTCTGAAAATTCTAAATTTCGGATTTTCTGATTTTCTGAACTTCTGAATTCGCGAATTTCCTAATTCCCGGATTTTCAAAATTTCCGAATTTTGAATTTCCGAATTTCTGAATTTCTGAATTTCGAATTTCGAATTTCTACATTTCTAAATTCCCGAATTTCTGAATTTAGGATTTTTTGAATTTCTGAAAATTCGTAATTTCGGAATTTCTGAATTTCGGAATTTTTAAATTTCCAATTTCTGACCATTCTGAACTTTCTGACCCACTAATAAAGACGCTCGGATAAGTCAATCATTTTTATCTTCCGAATCCGTTTTCTGTACCCGATCCTCTAGACGGAATTGTTTTTATAATCACCGATCAAAACGAGATCATAAATCAAATATAATGAAATCATTCCACACACTACAGACTCCAACAGTACACCTAGAACTTCTTCCATTCCCACGGTCCTATTCTTATCAGATGACGTGGCTTCTAAATCAGGTCTTCCGATCTTCAAAGACACCATTTCGTCGCCATTGCTGCGTCCTCCTCATTTTTCAACGAAACGCTCATAGACCCCCACGTGCGTTATCAGTCCGTCTTCTCACTGTCTCTAGATTTCTCGATCGTTGCATCACTATTTTTGGTTCGGCAGTGGTCACGTGTCCCCTCTGTTGGCTCCGCCCCTCTACCGCCCCTTTCGACGTCGACTGTTTTCAGTTTGTCGACGAATTTCGTGCCGATCCGACTGTTACTTGACACTATAAAAAGACCAGAGAATGAGTCGCTTGATATTCTCCCCAATTTCTTTCCAAACTTTTTTTCTTTATTTTTTCTTTTCCTCCTCACTTCTTCAAGACCTTTTCATGATTTTAAACCAGTTTCAGACAAATTCAAAATGACCACATTCGACCGAGGAGAGAAGCCAGATATTGGAACTTTGGTCGCATTTGACCATGTTCGATTTGTCGTTGGTAATGCTAAACAAGTAATTCGTTCTCAGAATATTGTTATCTTATCTCTGAATTCTTAGGCCGCCTACTGGTACTGTGCCAATTTCGGGTTCGAGCCATTTGCGTACAAGGGATTGGAGACTGGCTCCAGAATCACCGCTCAACACGCCATCAAACAAGATAAGATTGTTTTCGTGTTCGAATCTGCCCTCCTGCCAGACAATACCGAGTTGGGAGAGCATTTGGTTCAGCATGGAGATGGAGTAAAGGATGTTTGCTTTGAAGTTGAGGATCTTGATTCTATTGTGGCGCATGCGAAGGCTGCTGGAGCCACGATTGTCCGAGACATCACTGAAGAGTCAGATGAGAATGGATCTGTCAGATTTGCCACGTTGAGAACGGTAAGGGTTTCAAAAATTTCTGTAGACTACGAGATCCATTAGTGATGTTAATACGTTGAAAAATTCTTGAAATCTCAATCTGCTACTGGTTTTTTTGTCTGAAAATATGCTGAACATAAGCTGATTTGTTTATATTCACGCTTAGCTTGTCGAGAGTTTCAAAATGAGCCTAAACACGCCTATATTTCATTAATGTCGGAAAATTTTGGGTCCTACCACGAAAACTACAGTAATCCAAAAAATTTCAAAAATCTAGTCGTGCTTGGGCGAGCTGAAAAAGACTCTGGAACGGTGATATTAAAATTTTGAAAAATAAGCGAATTATAAGAAAATAAAAATGTATCAAAACTTTCTAACGGATTCAGACAATGTTCGAAGGTTAGGTCATCAGTGTTATTTGGATTTCTAGTGTACTGAATTATACAATGTGGGTTTCTAGGCCACGTGTTTAGAAAAAGTTAGGCCGCGAATTTCGGGTTTCTAGGCCATTGACTGTTTTTGCATTCCCAGGCAATAGGAGCACTAGATATGGATTTCTAGTGGAAAATTTAGGCCACAGTTTTAATCAATTCATTTCTAAAACAAATTCAAAGCAGATTAGAGACAATGTATACCAATGGTCAACCTAAAACTGACGGCCAACAGACACCCAGCACGTGTGCATGTTCCGAAAAATGTTTCCAGATAGTGTTTGCAAATTAAAATAAATTTTAACTGATAAGAAGTTGATTTCTTGTATTTTTGCACAATCCCTCTTGTTTTTGCAGTATGGAGAAACCGATCACACTCTTCTGGAACGCAAGAAGTATAAGGGAGCATTCCTCCCTGGCTTCAAACCCCACCCAATGCCTCCGACATTCTTCCATTCTTTGCCACGTGTCGGATTGAACTTCCTCGATCATTGTGTCGGAAATCAGCCAGACCTTCAGATGGCACCAGCTGTCGAGTGGTATGAGAATATTCTCAAGTTCCATAGATTCTGGTCTGTTGATGATTCTATGATCCATACCGAATATTCCGCTCTCCGTTCGATTGTTGTCACTAACTTTGAAGAGACTATCAAGATGCCAATCAATGAACCAGCATCTTCTAATAAGAAGGCAGTTTCTCAGATTCAAGAATTTGTTGATTATTATGGAGGATCTGGAGTTCAACACATTGCTCTTAACACCACTGACATCATCACTGCAATCGAAGCTCTCAGAGCCCGTGGATGTGAATTCCTGTCTATTCCATCCAGTTATTACGACAATTTGAGACAACGATTGTCAGTTTCTTCAATGAAAATTAAAGAAGACATGGATCGCCTTCAAAAACTTCACATTCTGGTTGATTTTGATGAGAATGGATATCTCCTTCAAATCTTCAGTAAGCCATGTCAAGACCGTCCAACTCTCTTCCTGGAAATTATCCAAAGACAAAACCATCAAGGATTCGGAGCAGGAAACTTCAAGGCTCTTTTCGAATCGATTGAATTGGAACAAACAAAGAGAGGGAACCTGTTCTATGAGAATGTCAAGGATGGACAACACAAGTAAACTTCTGTAATTTCTTTAACTTTTTTTCAATTTTCCCAAACTTTGCAATGATACCCAAGTGAATTCCATGTGCCATGAGAGATTGTATGTAGTGACTTCACCAAAAAAGATACCCATTTTTTCAAACTTGATTTTGTTTTATTCTGACATAATGAAAATTTTAAAAACAGAAAAAAGTTTCATGAAAGCCTTCCATTTCTATCCGGTTTCCAGAAAAATTGCTCCGTCATCAGGGCAATCGCCAGAAAAATAGAGAATACAAAAAAGGAGATGAAGTATTTGTTGCCAACATTGTAGAAGTAGATGTATCGTTCTGGAAAAGTTACAAAAATTACTGAAATTCGAATTTTTAAAGTAGCTTACTTTCACTATTATATCTCTCCCGATGGTTCAATCGACATGAAAATAAGCCTTGAAGGCCGAGATCCATGAGGATTCCCAAAGAAAGAATAGAGATACAAATTGGAACAATATTGGAGCCGATAGATCTATCCCATACAAAAACCTTAAGGATTGTCATCACACTGCTACTCAATCCAGATTTCAAATCTCGCATTGTTCCCATACATTTGTGACGCGAATCTGGAAAATACACTTCTTGATGTATATAAGATTTAAAGAAAATATCTTAACAAGTGATTCGAATCTGAACAAAATATTTAATTTTTTAAACATGTCAAGAAAATTTCAAAAAAGTTCCGAAATCGTTTAGAACAACTTCAGGATTTTTTAAGATCAGAAATTTTATTAAAATTTGAATTCTGGAAAATTGGAGTGTTCTGGAATTCTGAATTCTGTAAATGCCAAGTTTTCTGAAAATTTGATATCAGTAGAAATTTCCAATTTGAAAAAATTGAAATTTTCGAAAACTTGATTTTCGAAAATCGGAATTTTCTAGATTTGGATTCTGCAAAAAATCTAAAAATTTTAATTCTGAAAAAAATCCTAAATTTTCTGTACATTAGCATTCTGAAAAAAAACGATTTTTTCGTAACTTTGAATATAAATCAACAGGATTTTTTTTATTTGAAAAAAAAATTGAATTCTGAAACCTCTACGACGAAATCTCTACCTTTAACATCCATCAACTTTCTGTGTGCACTCAGAATCTCATACATCCAAGCGAAGGCATAATTATCATCACTAAAAAGATGCCGTGTATTATGTCCAGTTGTGTGAAGAGTCATTTCGAAAAGAAGAATTAGCCAGATCACAGGAAACGTGCAAATCAATAGCCTGAAAATTTATTTTCACTGGATTTATATTTTTTAGATTCTATACATACACATAAAGCTCAAATCTCATTCTTACGGGGGTTGGGAACGTTGCCAATTTATCGCGCGGAAAAAGTCCGAGGAGTTCTTCTAAAAGTTCGAACGTCTTCTGAAATATTCATTCCAGAATATCTGGTCTTACCATCTTTTTGCTCTCCTAGTAGCCTTTCTTCACTTCTTATCGATTCTTGAGATTTCTCTCGAATCGTTCCAGGTTCATCAATATTTCCTTCAAGGAGTGAAGTATCAAACAGTCGGTTTCTCTGAAGTTTTTAATTTGAAACTTTTTATACAATGTTTCAGAAACTTCTAGAATATTCAATCGATCCTCTTTGTCTTCAACTTCCTCACACCAGTTGTGACGGAAAAGTTCCGCTTGATGAACTAATTTCTCATAGTTGAGAAGACGGCGAAGATCTGGAATTCGCAGAATTAATGACTGAAAATGTTTCAGAATAAATAGGTACAAATATAGAAAACCAGACAAATCACAGTGGAAGTCAACAGTCCCATTCGAATGGAGACACGGAGAAAGAATACGGTAGTTGCATGAATATTATGACCCATAGAAAATAGATGGCACTGAAAATTCGAATTTCAGATTTAGAACGAAATGAATCTCGAAATTTCAGAATCTCAGAATCTCAGAGTCTCAGAATCTCAGAATCTCAGAATCTCAGGATCTCAGAATCTCAGGATCTCAGAATCTCAGGATCTCAGAATATCAAAAACATAATTTCAGAATGTCAGAATTTCAGAATCTCAGAATTTCAGAATCTCAGAATCTCAGAATCTCAGAATCTCAGAATCTCAGAATCTCAGAATCTCAGGATCTCAGAATATCAAAAACATAATTTCAGAATCTCAGAATTTCAGAATCTCAGAATATCAAATTTTACAATTTTCAGAATTCCGAAATTTCAGAATTTCCGAATAAATGGGGAATTCATATGGACTATAAAACATTACTACTGTAACTCTCACCGGAGCTTTAATAGTTCCATTTAGAAACATCTCGATTCTATTTATTGATCTCATTTTTTAAGTCTAACTATTCAAATGACACAAATACAGTACAGGAACGAATTGTTTATTTTGAATGCAAAAGGAAAATTGTAAGTATCCACATCATGCCCACGTTCCATTCCTCTCTGCCACCTGGACATCGTTTCTAGCTCGTTTTCTCTTCAATTTGAATAAATTGTTGAAGGGTTTTCTAATTTTATGAAATTTCTTCGGCTTCTTCACTTCTGACTCTCCTTGAGCCTCCTTTTTGGAATCTGGCCTATAAATATTGATATTTTCATTTTGAAATTCTATTTTTTCTACCGTACTCTTCGACTTCAATTTTCTTATTTTTCTGACGAATCGATGACTTTTTCTTTTCCAATTTCAGTTTTTCCTGTACACTTTTCTTTTCTTTCTTTGAGCTTTTCGATTTGTCCGATTTCATTTCTCTAACCGATTTCTTTGATTTTTTGCCTTTATGTGGAGATTTTGCAGTTTTCAAAGATCCATTCATATCTGTTCCAGCTGTTCTTTTGTATCGAGCACTCGTTTTTCCTTCATATTTACTTCTGTCTTCTAATCCTAAAAATATACCTTAAAACCTGTGAAAGAGGAGCTCATTTATCTCATTTCCAGTGAAAGATATCAAAAAGTGATCAACTAATAAAATGTTGGTGATATTATGATAAACAATTTATCAGTTGACAACTTTTTTATACCTTTTACAGAAACCGAGATAAATTAGCTCAAAGTTAAAAGTAAGGTACCCACGAAAACTCTTTTAAAAAATCTACAAACTTCGAACACTTTTATCCTTGTCCAATACGTATCCCTTCATTTTCTGACTCCTTTCCACCCGTTTTTGACTCTTTTTCGATCTTCCGTCAATTGTTTCTCCTACATCGGGATTCTTCTCCGATCCTTCTGTCACTGGAATCATCCCTTCAGGTTCCAAGGGTCGTGCTCTTCTACTTCGCAATGGCGATGAGTTTCGAGGAGGACTTTTCTCCGAGGGTTCTCTTTAAAAAATTTTTTAAATTAAAACTTTTTGAAATATTTCATTAACTCTTTCTTCGAATATTCTCTGGGAGATCGGGTAGAACATAAGCCAATAATTGGAATAGCAAGTAATATAGAAAAAGTAATTTCAGCCACAACTGAAAATCAGAAACTTTGTTTGTTCGATTTCCAATTCGAGCTCACTCAGAAACATGGCAAAAAAATAGAAATGATTAAATTTCGTTTCTCAAGGATTACGGTAGATTTAAAAAATTGACACATTTATTTTTTTAAATAAATAAAAAATCGAGTTAAGAAAAGTTGGATGCAATGAAGGATGTATCGTTTTGGAGTGTTTTGGCAATCATATCCATCAAGTCGATGCCATTGATCGGAAGATGAGAAGCAGATTTCCCATGAATACGGCACACTGGCTTCTGCTGGATTTGCTCTTTTTCGGAGATCAAAGAGTTTGAATGTGGAATTGGACACAACTTTTTTTTACTCTTCGGACATCCTTCCTTGTGAATTATCACTTTTTCAGTCGGTTCCACAACATCCTTGGAACTAACAGTTGCGTTGATTTCTGGAGCTTTCTTATCAAAATGATGGTCCGAAGCGTAATGATCGTGAGTCAGACTAGCAGAAGACGTCGCTAAATCTTCCAGTGATGAAGCTTCCGAAACGACAATGTATGGCTTGCGGTAAGGGATTCCGGATTTTGGCTCCCTTTTGGTACGATCCAGGATGTCGGAGACTCTATAAGAATGTCCTTTAAAATTTCAAGATTTTTCTACAAAATTACCTTCTCTTCTCCACATTCAAAAGCCATCTCGCAGCATCAAACTTCTCAATATTCGTTTCCATCTCCTGCACGTCTTCATAAAGATTCGCCTGTTCTCTCAACAACATCTCGTTTCGTTTCTGAGCTTCGTCAGTTTTCAGACTCATTGAAGTCCTCGTTTTGATTGCTGCTCTCAATCGATTCTCAAACTCTGCTTCCTGATGTCCAATCTCTTTACACATTGCCTTTTCATTGAAACTAGTATTCACAATGATTTCATTCAAAAGGACCTTCAAGTGACCCATTTTCTCCCGATGTGCTTCCCCATACAAGATATCTACTTCCTATAATAACTAATAGATGTTGCGAAAAAGCTACTGTAAATACCATTGGTTCTTCAATCGAATGCATCAACTCTGCTCCCAATTCTGGTTCAGCTCTCATTGAGGCATCTGCCAGTCTTGCCACATCCAATTCCAATGAGTCCTTTCTACAACAGTTGCTTCAGTTTCTAAAAGCACGTCTTCTCCTGAAATACCTTTTCAAGAGTCTCTCCAATTTCTCTTCACTATTTTTATTGGCTTTGGTCAGCTTTCGAAGTTGCTCATTCATTTGTTCGATTCGCATCACCTTTTGTCGTGTATATTCGATTCGACGTTGCGTTTCGACTGAAACATATAACAATCACAATCACCCCTTTCTCTCTCGTTTCTCCTCTATTTTTTCTGAGCTTTTATGCGTTCGGAGGCGGCACAGACTATTCATGCAATCGCTTTGGTTAGTTTTCCTTTCACCAAAACTATCATCGACTCCCTTTCCCTCCCCAATATACATTTTTCAACCCCTGGTTTTCTTGTTATTCGCTATTCTATTACTAAACTTGTCCATTGATTTCCCATCAATTTTGTCTTCGGAGTCTTTTCCAAAAAAAGTAGTGAAACAAAACAAAATCGAGGAAGTGACACTTTTCTTTCCAACTGCAACTATAACTGGAGAAGATGTACAACACAAACGCCCGTCCGGTGAGTCGAAAATTGAAACGTGGAACATTTTCTCAGTTCAAATAAAACTTGTCAGTTTGATGTCGGTCATGTGGAAACTGGCAAGTGGACCCATGAGATTTTTGGGTGGGCAAGACAGCAGAACTTATTGCCGAGAAAAAGGAGGGGACGGGATGGATATTAATTCACTTACCATCCATGTTGTAATCATTCGTCGCCATCTTGCCTCTTGTTCAGAAATAACGTGATTCTCGAAAAATAAATTTTCAGATTTTTTTTGTCTTTTGGCATACGCAAGGTCATGCGGGAATGTCTCTAATTTTTTTTACAAGTAGAAATTCCTCTAAATAGGTTAACACCAGTTGACATAAGTAGATGTGTATCTATGCTACAGTATTCTATCTATGTTATTATCGTTGTCTGAAAAAGAATTTGGAGAAGCGGAGAAAGTTTATCTGCGTCTCCACATTACATGTGTTAAAAATTATGCGCGATCACAAATGCAGGTCTACAACCATAATTTCAGAATTTTTTATCTGATTTTGTGGAGTTCCAAGATGATTTAAATGATTATTAAAAAATTAATTAGTGGTTATAGATTCATGTATGGTCCTTTTCCGGAAGAAAAAATGTCAAAAATGGTTATTTCGAAAGTTTTTACAGAAAAAATCTATCTCCTCTTTCAGTTTTTGACATTTCTAGGAGTTCTAAAGCTCAAGAGAACCG